TATAACCGAACAAAAATTTTCAGGCTTAAATTACATACATAATTATTGACGAATAATATTCTTTGCTATTTATTCTTTTCACCATTTCCCCGTTGCTATTTGTTTGTACAGGCCTGAGCCCCCATCTGACGACTATAAATCAAATCCGCCGCCTAGCCCGACCCACGGACGTCCCTGATGAAGGGATTTTGGCGGATCTTTTGTGGGCGGACCCGCACCCTGACCCCGGGGCAAAGGGCTGGAGTGAGAACCTGGACAGGGGGATGTCTTACTGGTTCGGGGCTGACGAAGTGGAGAAATTCCTGCACAAGAACGATTTGGAGATTATCTGCCGAGCCCATGACGTACGTTTGATTCTCTGCTCTCTTGACCTGTCAACTGTCAGAATCGTTCACTGCTAGTGAAGCATAATACTATGGATGGATAGGCGTAGAACATCCACTTAATCCATCTACCAATCCACTGATAAGTCGATTAGCGACCAATCAATCGAGCAATAAATAAATCAGAGGACTAGTCGATCGGTTGAACAACCAACCAACAAACTCATCAGTCAATCAGTCAGTCAGCCAACCAATCAATCTGTCAATCAATCAAACAAGCAAGCGAGCAAGTAAATAAATAAGCAAGCTAACAAGCAAGCAAGCAATTTCTGAACCAATCTGTTGATCGATTTTCCAATCATTTAATATATTGAAACATCCAATAAATGTTCCATAAGTTGAATACCCATTCAATAGAACTCCGTTTTCAAAAGCATGAAGCCAAACAACAGTCTATGGTATAATAATTTTTGCTTCTTCTTGACTACAGATGTAGATTCTCGTGGTACATCTATCTTGTTGGTTTAGAATGCTATGACCATGACTGATTAAAAAGCATGTCTTATTGGTTTATCTGATTTTAATATTCCAATCTCTGTTGCACAACAGGTGGCCCAAGATGGGTACAAGTTTTTTGGTAAGCGCCAGCTGGTCACAGTTTTCTCAGCTCCAAACTACTCTGGCCTGGACAACTGTGGAGCCATTATGACTGTCGATGAAGATCTCATGTGTGCTTTCAAGGTGAGTAGACAGTTTCCCTATCTCTGTTTACTACTACTACTACTACTACTACTACTACTACTACTACTACTACTACTACTACTGCTGCTACTACTACTACTACTACTACTACTACTACTACTACTACTACTACTACTACTACTACTACTACTACTACTACTCTCACTCACATACATGAAAAACACTCACACACGTGCGCACACGCACCACATATACACACACGCACCACACACATACGCTTTCCCTCCTTGTATACAACGTATATCTATTTTAGTACCTCGATGGCTGAGAATCGAGACTGCATGTGCGTTTTCATGGGAAGATTCCCTTCCTCTTCATCTTTCCATTTTCCTGTCTCCTTTCCCCTTTCCCCTTTTTACGTTCTCTCTCTCTCTCTCTCTCTCTCTCTCTCTCTCTCTCTCTTTCTCTCTCTCTCTCACAGTCTATATGTCTCCCCTTAAAGCAAACTCCCCGTAACAGAAGTAGCTCCATCATGACACCCGCAGAACGTTCTCTGCCGGCATGCCTTTCATCTTCCTTCCTCCATTTCTAGGCCCCTTCTCTCCCTTTCTCTCTCTTTTTATGTTTCAAAATCTCTCCGTTTCTCTCCCTCCCCCCCCTCTCTCTCTCCATCTCTCTCTCTCCCTCCCCTTTTCTCTCTTCCCAATTCTCGCTTCCTCGCACCCCATGTTATCTCTCTCTCTCCTCCCCCCTCTCCCCTCCTCTTTCTCTCTCTTCCTTCCAACCATCTCTCTTCAATGAGACCTCACCCTTCCCCCTTTTACAAACAATTAAGCGTCAACAAGCGGTTTAGAAAAATGTAATGTCCCTAAAGCAAATTTTTTCAGAACAGAGAAAAGACAGTTTCACTCTCACGAGATGCTTATCACATTATGAATCTTTTCTTGCTTTGTTTTTTTCAACATTAATAACTGAAAGGCAACAATATAATTTTATGATTCTCGAGCACATACCAGATGCTAGATAGAGATTACGAAACTGTAATTTTTAATAATCAAAATTTTGGCCTTAGTACAGAATTCGGAACAACTGGGTGACGACAATGGAATGGAACTTGAATAACTCTTTAAAAAAATAATTAAAGAACTGTTAACTAAAAAACAGTGGCAAGTAACAAGCGACACGACAAAGAAAACTGATTAGTAAAAATCTTGTTTTGTTTTTGCAGATTTTGAAGCCAATAGACCGGAAGGCAAAATACCGTTACGACACACTCAAAAGTAAGAGATCGAAATCAGAAGGAAATCTGGCACCACCAAAAGAGGCTGCTGGGAGTTCGAGTGCTTCACCAGCAGCAGACACAGAGAAGACATTTTGGGACCGGAATCTCAGACCTGTGGCTCGAGAACGAGCCCTTAGCGCCAGTTTCTGATAAGAAGCTACCACTCATATTTGTCAGTACCAGTATGATAAAT